TTAGTTCGCCAATTGCCATCAGCCCTTACACTTTTTTCGAGGCTTGGAGAGAGCAAATAGGTGGCCTCCCTGATTTCCTTCTGTAGGTTCCATTAATATTCGATATCCATCGAGTAACAATGTATATTACACACCTGGGTGGTGTCTGTCAGGGCGTCTGGGAGATACCATGCAATGATGGCACCGGATGCATCAAGAATTATTGCAGGTTCATCGACCAACCTTTTGCCTTCATGGCCAGGAGGACACCTCTCAAGCAACCTCGCCTCTTTATGTTCATTATGCCCGGTGTCCTTCGGGGAGATCAATTTGCTATATCTTGCAATATCCATCTGCATCTGAACTGTCATGCAGGAATTTGAATGATAAAACGAATTTTCCGAATCTGCAGGAAGACCCACTGGGATTTTTAGATGCCTTTATGAGTACATCAGCCAAGCAATCGCACGCCATCACCAGATCAGTGTCTAGGTTGGGGGAAGGTATGACTGGGCCTCCTCCAGTCTTCTCTGCCTTGAATTTCTGTTCAGTATATTCCCCTGCTTCATAAGTCACAGTCAGGGCCCAAGTGCGCCAGATGTTTATGCTATCAGGAGGGGAAGGGGAAGAACCGTTCATGCTGGATGTCTGGACTTTGGTGTTATAGGGGGTGGAGATAGAGAGGATCAGATAAGGGAGCCATGGATAATTTTGGCTGCTGTCAAAGATGTATTATTATCCATTGCTCAATGAAATACTACCTGATTGGAAGTGTGCTGGTCATCAGATATTCATTTGTTGACTCCCGGGTCCCGGTACTCGGAAGTCAGTACGGTTGACCCATATTTTGGTGGTCGGAATTTGGCGTCTCGTAGGGCAACACAAGCTTTGTACTGCCATATCAGGAGATCACCTGCTGCTCCGGGAACTCGGTAACTGTGATTTATTACCTCCTCTGAGTAAGGTTGACTCGCTGGTCATCAGATATTCATTTGTCGACTCCCGGGTCCCGGAACTCGGAGGTCAGTACGGTTGACCCATATTTGGGTGGTCGGAATTTGGAGTCTCGTAGGGCAACACAAGCTTCGCACAGCCATGTCAGGAGATCACCTGCTGCTCCGAGAACTCGGTAGCTTTGATTTATTACCTCCTCTGAGTACGGTTGACTCACATTTTGGTGGTCGGAACTTGGCTTCTCATAGGGCAACACAAGCTTCGCACCCCGGATTCCACATTCTGCAAGACAACCTAAGCACCATCAGAGGCCATGTCAAGAGAGCACCTGCTGCTCTCTTCAGAAACATCTCAACTTTGGTTGGCCATTTAACACGGAAAGTATTAATGTGTTGAGTTCCGGGTCCCGGAACTCGGTACAGTTGACTCCAATTCTGGTGGTTGGAACTTGGCTTCTCGTAGGGCAACACAAGCTTCGCACCCCGGATTCCACATTCTGCAAGACAACCTAAGCACCATCAGAGGCCATGTCAAGAGAGCACCTGCTGCTCTCTTCAGAAACATCTCAACTTCGGTTGGCCATTTAACACGGAAAGTATTAACTAAATTATGTGTTGAGTTCCGGGTCCCGGAACTCGGTACAGTTGACTCCAATTCTGGTGGTCGGAACTTGGCTTCTCGTAGGGCAACACAAGCTTCGCACCCCGGATTCCACATTCTGCAAGACAACCTGTGCACCATCAAAAAGTATTAACCAACTTATGTGGTGAGTTCCGGGTCCCGGAACTCGGAACTCGGTACAGTTGACTCAAATTCTGGTGGCCGGAACTTGGCGTCTCGTAGGGCAACACAAGCTTCGCACTGCCATGTCAGGAGATCACCTGATGCTCCGGGAACTTGGTAACTTTGATTTATTACCTCCTCTGATTTGGTTGATGTACAACTACCTCAGCTCCATCATGTCTACAATTATGATACACATGGGCCCACCCATCTATATTATATACCACCCTCGGCCCACCGGTCTAATACAACATCCCATACAACACCCTTGGCCCACCGGTCTAATTAATATGCGTCTGGGCCCACCCGTATAATACAATATTTTATAATACCCTCGGCCCACCCGTCTAATTTAATATGTGTCTGGGCCCACCCGTGAATGTGATAACAAGTACCTACCCATCTATCTCATACACATCTACCTTAATACACCCATCTGCATAATATCCAGCTACCTCGGCCCACCCGTCTACCTAATATTCATTTACATCGGCCCACTCATCTACTCTATATATTCCCTGCATGGGCCCACCCGCCTCCATCGGGAATAATTTGCCTCCCGGCCCATCCGTCATAGTCGAGAATATTTTTATCATGGGCCCATGGTCCGCTGGCCCGTATCATACGGGATATTATGCACGTCCGTTCCCTCGTATTATACGGAGATAGGTCACTGTAGTATGTGCTTCTTTCTACCAGGTGTTACAGGGCTTTGGTCTCAGACAAGTAATATGCATTGGAATAACTTTAGTGAGGGCACTGGCATTGTGAAACATGCTCCAAGAGAACGGTTCCAACCAAATAACCCATTTTACTGACATGAACCGGCTCTCATTTGAGTTTCCGGACACCAGCTGTTTATATCCCTCTACATTCTATACACCAGAAACAAATGGGATGTTGAGGGTATCATGCCAATTGACAAGTGTTGACTAGCTGGCAGACAATCTCTTGTTCGCAATCTCTTGCAATCTCTTGTTCTATTTACTGTCACGTACATCGGTTATGTAACCTAATACTGTGAGATACACGTACATCCTTTCTTCTACCGAAACCTCCACTGCTTTGCGATGCCCCGATCCAACTCATCAGTAGACAGCCCAAAAAAGATGAAGCAGAAGAAATTGACTGAGGAAGAGGTGTTGGTCTTAAAATCTCACCTAGAAGAATGGAAGGAAGCAGCCGCTGAGGATAGAAAAAAGATTATGAAGGTGGTAGTAAAAGAGGCCAAGGTTCATGCCCCTACTATGGATGACCGGTTATTGAAGAAAAGGAAATATGTGAGCAGTTGATCTTCTAATTCTATACATGATTAATGACTTTTATCATGATGTATCAAGACGTACCGGGACTGGTTATATAACCGGAGGCCCGAAAAGACTCGCAAAAAACAAGCAAGCAAGTTAGGTCAGAAATGGACTTCCCAGTCGGTGATAGAACAACTGCGCAAGGAGGATATCATCGAAAAGACCGGAGCAAGGCCAGGGTCAAAGACGTTTATTGAAAGATACCAGTCAACCCTCACTGCAATCATGGCCAGTCTATCTAAAGAGGAGCTAGAGGAAGCTCAGAACACTGCGATCGAATGGTCTGACAAGGCTCCTCCTGCAGCGGTCCAGGCGGACTTTGCAAAGAAGAAAGCACCCGGTATGATGAAGGATCTGGCGACCAAGTTGTGGAAGCAGGCTGGTATGAGAATTTTCATATTATCAGCATGGAAAACAGAAGAAGACGAAGTCCGGATCAATGGGTGAGTCTCACTTCACACTCAACCGGTAAAGATATACTGATCCGGTTGGAAGAATGGACTTCAATGAAAATTTAGAGGGCAACAGTTTTACTGATACGAAGGACTGGAAGCCCATGTTATCAGAGTGGAATGCCTATGCTGGAGAAGAGTTCGGTGAGTTTCTTTTTGAACATCTTGCGTCATTCAGTCAAGTACTTATCACACTTGGGGGCCATACCAGAAGTTGACCTAAATAATGATGATGACGACAATGAGGGGGAGGTGAAGAAGAGCAGAAAGAAAGGGGGAAAGAAGGACGATTATCCTTTGGAGGTTGATAGCTATGGGCTTCCGGTCATACCGGACGTTGAAGACCTCAGCCTAGAGAGTAAAAAGTGTCTTATCCGAACGTTCCTCACCAAACACTACAGTCAGTTTCACAAATAATGCATCTGGAGAGTTGATTGACCAACAAGCAATTTTTCAGGGTTGTGTAGCCAGCAATCAAAGGCGTCTGTTCCTTGGGCCTCAGTGAGGAAGGCTCCAGGTGATTTCATTTCGGCCAAGTATTTACCTACCGGCATGAAGATGGATGATCCGTCAAAGATCTGGTTAGCTGAAGCTGACCGGCTGTTAGCATTTTGGCTTCAGAGACAGAAGGATAAAATTCGCCCAACCTTTGAATTTACAGCCTGGGAAGGCGACGATAAGATGATGAGAGAACCGGTGGATACAACCTCCAGCGAGGATTCAGACACCGGACCCAGGGTTCCAGTTAAAAAGTCAACCAGAAAGCTTAGGAGGAGAGTGGAACAGGATAAAAGTGATGAGGACCAGGAAGACAAAGAAGACAAGGATGACAAGGATGACGGGGAAGGGGACGAGGACAACAAAGAAGATGAGGACGACAAGGAAGACAAGGAAGGAGACGAGGACAACAAAGAAGACAAGGAAGGAGACGAGGAAGACGTTGTCCAATCGCCTCCTTCAAAGTCTAAACCGGCCAAAAAGCAGGGCAGGGCCAGTCCGGTTCAATTTGAGTCGCATCCTCGACCACCGGTCAAGAATTCCATGCCGGTCCCATCGCCACCTTCAAAGTCCAAATCAACCAAGAAGCGTGGTAGGGTTGGTCCAGCTCAATCTAATTCGGAGGAAGATTCTCGACCACCGGTCAAGAAATCCAAGCTCACTGGTGGGGGCAATGGAAGGTCAGAAGACAACACCGGTACCGGTTCTGCTCAATCAACCGGAACTCGTCTTGGTAATCCTGTGTCTTCGCACAATGTGTCTAAAAGTCGTACATATGGTCCTACATCAGGTGTCCAGGCCAAGATGCAAAACAAGAGGGCACCGGTGCCCAAATCAACCCCACCTTTCCCAACAAAGGCCACCGGCAGGAAAACCAAAGACCATGATACCCAGATTACCAATCCAGAGCCAAAGTGCTCTGGTAGGACTGCGAAGGCGTCTTATAAAGCTCACTACATGCAAAAGTGATTATTTGGCTTGATGCACACAAGTATTCATAGACAGGTGTAGATAATGTTTGACCGGATATATACATCACGTTGAAAGTTGAGCTATCGATATCAGTCGACATGCCATCAATAACTCTTCAATGCACTCAAGAACTCGCTGTCTCACAAATGTTTCGTCCGGCGACATTGCAACGCCAGCCCTGTCAATCTCCAACTGGTGCATCGCCATCTGCAAATCACCTACAGCCCTCTGAATGACAAATCCGATGGGATCCGGTTGACTGACACCAACTGAATTCAAAACATGAACAGCGTTATATCTGAAATCAATGAAAACTTACGTGACTGATCCAGAATGTTATGCACCGGATCCATTTCAAAACCCATCTCTAAAGGGTTTTCTGCCGGTTGAATATTGTTCCCAATGTGTGGAACATCATCTACTGGATATGTGTCGAAACCCATCTCCAAAGCGCCGTATTCTAGTTCAATATCATGTACACACATCAACAAGTCAATTGATAAGATATATCGTGCAGCGACATACCTGTGTTGCTGGAGGGATCACTGACTTCTAGAGGAGGAAATCCTAGGTCCAATGTCTCACCATCTGACCGGTCATGATCATCCAAGGTGGGGAATTGCATATCCAAGATGTCAGACCCTTGTTGAGCATGCATGTCGGAAATCGAGTCATTATCAGCCAATGAAAATCCCAAGTCTAAGGGCCGGAAGTTGTCTGCGATCTGCCAGTCCATTGTCTTCAATGTTTGACAATCCTTCCACCGGTCATGAACCAACAGGACATCTAGGTCTGCTACACACATGTTAATGGTCCACGCGATAGCTCAGAATGAGAGAAAACTCACATTCGGCAATGCTCGAACAATCCATGAAAGGGTTGTTGTAAGTGCGCTCCTCATGTCCCGGCTCTGATATATAAAATACTAGTATGCCGCATAATGTCAGCCAATATATTCTTTGAGGTGATGGTTTCTCACCTTCATCCTCACTGGGAAAACATAAGTTATGCCGGACAATCGCCAATGGCTTTCTTTGCTTCCTTTTGTTGAATGGTTTGTTGTTCTTCATCCAATCACCAGAAGAATAGATGTGTTCGATTGCAGCCTGTGACCGGCTGCTCAGGGTTCGGCCAGCAACAATTGAATGCCGGTGACGTGTCAACAATAGAATTCCAGCTAAAAATAGATAATGATGATGTGAACAATGACCTTGGACATTTCCATGTCGGCCCGAACCTCCGGTGGTTGAAAAGTTTTACAAGTCTTTTGTACAGGTCGCTGCCGGGTGTCTTTCCTTCCACTCTCTCATAGCTCAGCTGCAACTCCCATTGTCTAGCCAACATGTCTTCCAAATCCATTTCTGCTGCCGCCGCTGATGCTGCCAACCAGGCTCTCATTGCTCTTGTCGCCAGGCTCAACGACATGGTTCAACAGGTTCTCCGGTCTCAATCGCAGGAGGAGAAAATGGAATTGAGCTGGACGATTGCTCGCGAAGTGGTATGTTTGACGTCCTGTTTCTTTCCTGAATTGATACTAGCGTCACAGAATGAGGCCATTCATTCCCATGGGAGGGTGGCCACCTACGTTCCCCCCACCCTGCTGTCACTGGCAGCTGAGATTTTTCTGGCTCAGAGGCGCACCACTCATTTGGTGGAAGTGCTGGATTGGAATCGGGTGGGGATGAATGCAAACATGTGCATGAAGCATCCTTTGTACCCCAAGACATTGGGTCAAGCGCCTCCTGTTACAACTGCAGCTGCTGGTACATATATTTTTTGCTATCATCCCACCTGTACTGACACCTGTTCACACCATCGCCAGGGCCTGCACTTGCACCTCAACCAGCACTGGCACCTCCACCAGCACCGGCACCTCAACCAGCACCAGCACCTCAACCAGTACCGGCACCAGCACCACTCAGCATTCGCATCCCCCGCAATGCAACATCCGGTGCGACTGCACCGGCAGGACCATCAAAGTCACGCAAACGACAACTCAGTGGTAGCCCCCCTCTGCATCGGGTCAATAGGCCCAGGAAGCGTGTCCTGAAGTTGAAGGAAATGTTGTCAGACACCGACTCTGACTCTCAAAAACCCAAGGGCAAGGGGAAGGCACCGGCAGATGATGGGGATGAGGATGTCCAGATGGCCATTGACGTGGATGATCTTCCGGACATTGCAGCAAGTTTTTTGTCTAATTTTCAACTGAATATCACTTACATGGCTCACAGCCCCAGAAATCAACTCGAAAACCTGTCATCCCTCCTAAACGCAAGGGTGCTGCACCAAAGGCAAGTGAGCCAGTTGAGATTGAGGATGATGAAGAGGATGAATTGGAGGAGGAGGAGGAGGAGGAGGAGGAGGAGGAGGAGGAGGAGGAGGAGGAGGAGGAGGAGGAGGAGGAGGAGGAGGAGGAGGAGGAGGAGGAGGAGGAGGAGGAGGAGGAGGAGGAAGAAGACGACGACGATGAATGATGATGATGATGATGATGATGATGATGATGATGATGATGATGATGATGATGATGATGATGATGATGATGATGATGATGATGATGATGATGATGATGATGATGATGATGATGATGATGATGATGATGATGATGATGATGATGATGATGATGATGATGATGATGATGATGATGATGATGATGATGATGATGATACACACGGCAAGCAAAAGGTAAGTTCATCTTGTGTATTTTATTTGTGCCGGCACATCATTAATCCTGATCTAGGCCATTCTTAAGCAGGGCAAGCGACAAAAAATGGTGAGTTTTGCTTGTCATTTCACCGGTCATATATACCGCTAACCTCATCTAATACAGTCCATGGACAAGGGCAAGGGCAAAGGCAAGCCCAAGCCCAAGCCCAAGCCCAAGCCCAAGGGCAAGGGCCAACAACCGGTGCGTCTTCCGGTCAATGTCATGTTTTACCATATTGATTCTTCATAGTCCCGCCTTGATGGACCTCTGCCTCCTTGTGACAGATGCCGGACGAAGAATGTTGATTGTAGCACCCGGTTGACCAAGAAAGGAGAGATTGCCTTATCTTGCACTTTGTGCCATCTTTGGAAGATGGCGTGCGTCCGAACCGACCTTTCGAAATCAGGCAACACCACTGTCACCACTCCCACTACCGCCACCACCACCAAAACTGCCGCTGCACCGGTAACCACTCGCTCCAAGACTAGGGCGACCATACAGAAGAAGATCAGTGGGCAGTCTAAAGTCACAGGCAAGTCTGTTGTATCAGGTGTTTGTTCTGTTCTCATTCATCCTTTTAGATGCAAATATTCGGCATCCGAGTCCCATCCAAGAGGAAGAGGAGATCCACGGCAACGTTGATGACACTCCGGAAGTGACCGGTACTGGTGGTACTGCACCGACACCGCCGCCTTTGGCATCAGCAACTGATTTCCTGGACGATCACTGGGTCGAACCCGGTGAGGATAATATACCACCTCCATCACCGGTCATGGCCTCAGAGGACAATATCCGGTTCTCACCAATGCCTCCGAATTACAAGCTGCCCTCCCCTGTCGCGCCTTCACATACTACAGTGACATATCTCCGTATAATACGAGGGAACGGACGTGCATAATATCCCGTATGATACGGGCCAGCGGACCATGGGCCCATGATAAAAATATTCTCGACTATGACGGATGGGCCGGGAGGCAAATTATTCCCGATGGAGGCGGGTGGGCCCATGCAGGGAATATATAGAGTAGATGAGTGGGCCGATGTAAATGAATATTAGGTAGACGGGTGGGCCGAGGTAGCTGGATATTATGCAGATGGGTGTATTAAGGTAGATGTGTATGAGATAGATGGGTAGGTACTTGTTATCACATTCACGGGTGGGCCCAGACACATATTAAATTAGACGGGTGGGCCGAGGGTATTATAAAATATTGTATTATACGGGTGGGCCCAGACGCATATTAATTAGACCGGTGGGCCAAGGGTGTTGTATGGGATGTTGTATTAGACCGGTGGGCCGAGGGTGGTATATAATATAGATGGGTGGGCCCATGTGTATCATAATTGTAGACATGATGGAGCTGAGGTAGTTGTACATCAACCAAATCAGAGGAGGTAATAAATCAAAGTTACCAAGTTCCCGGAGCATCAGGTGATCTCCTGACATGGCAGTGCGAAGCTTGTGTTGCCCTACGAGACGCCAAGTTCCGGCCACCAGAATTTGAGTCAACTGTACCGAGTTCCGAGTTCCGGGACCCGGAACTCACCACATAAGTTGGTTAATACTTTTTGATGGTGCACAGGTTGTCTTGCAGAATGTGGAATCCGGGGTGCGAAGCTTGTGTTGCCCTACGAGAAGCCAAGTTCCGACCACCAGAATTGGAGTCAACTGTACCGAGTTCCGGGACCCGGAACTCAACACATAATTTAGTTAATACTTTCCGTGTTAAATGGCCAACCGAAGTTGAGATGTTTCTGAAGAGAGCAGCAGGTGCTCTCTTGACATGGCCTCTGATGGTGCTTAGGTTGTCTTGCAGAATGTGGAATCCGGGGTGCGAAGCTTGTGTTGCCCTACGAGAAGCCAAGTTCCAACCACCAGAATTGGAGTCAACTGTACCGAGTTCCGGGACCCGGAACTCAACACATTAATACTTTCCGTGTTAAATGGCCAACCAAAGTTGAGATGTTTCTGAAGAGAGCAGCAGGTGCTCTCTTGACATGGCCTCTGATGGTGCTTAGGTTGTCTTGCAGAATGTGGAATCCGGGGTGCGAAGCTTGTGTTGCCCTATGAGAAGCCAAGTTCCGACCACCAAAATGTGAGTCAACCGTACTCAGAGGAGGTAATAAATCAAAGCTACCGAGTTCTCGGAGCAGCAGGTGATCTCCTGACATGGCTGTGCGAAGCTTGTGTTGCCCTACGAGACTCCAAATTCCGACCACCCAAATATGGGTCAACCGTACTGACCTCCGAGTTCCGGGACCCGGGAGTCGACAAATGAATATCTGATGACCAGCGAGTCAACCTTACTCAGAGGAGGTAATAAATCACAGTTACCGAGTTCCCGGAGCAGCAGGTGATCTCCTGATATGGCAGTACAAAGCTTGTGTTGCCCTACGAGACGCCAAATTCCGACCACCAAAATATGGGTCAACCGTACTGACTTCCGAGTACCGGGACCCGGGAGTCAACAAATGAATATCTGATGACCAGCACACTTCCAATCAGGTAGTATTTCATTGAGCAATGGATAATAATACATCTTTGACAGCAGCCAAAATTATCCATGGCTCCCTTATCTGATCCTCTCTATCTCCACCCCCTATAACACCAAAGTCCAGACATCCAGCATGAACGGTTCTTCCCCTTCCCCTCCTGATAGCATAAACATCTGGCGCACTTGGGCCCTGACTGTGACTTATGAAGCAGGGGAATATACTGAACAGAAATTCAAGGCAGAGAAGACTGGAGGAGGCCCAGTCATACCTTCCCCCAACCTAGACACTGATCTGGTGATGGCGTGCGATTGCTTGGCTGATGTACTCATAAAGGCATCTAAAAATCCCAGTGGGTCTTCCTGCAGATTCGGAAAATTCGTTTTATCATTCAAATTCCTGCATGACAGTTCAGATGCAGATGGATATTGCAAGATATAGCAAATTGATCTCCCCGAAGGACACCGGGCATAATGAACATAAAGAGGCGAGGTTGCTTGAGAGGTGTCCTCCTGGCCATGAAGGCAAAAGGTTGGTCGATGAACCTGCAATAATTCTTGATGCATCCGGTGCCATCATTGCATGGTATCTCCCAGACGCCCTGACAGACACCACCCAGGTGTGTAATATACATTGTTACTCGATGGATATCGAATATTAATGGAACCTACAGAA